ACCCTCATTGTTATACAAACTTACATATAAGAGGTTGTGAGGGGAAAGGGGAAAAAAAACAACAAGGGAGAGAATTAAACAACAGCAGATGGGGTAGAGAGAGAAGATGGGAGGGGAGGGAGGGGGGATGGTAGAGGATAGGAAAGGTAGCAGAATACAACAGTCACTAATATGGCATTATGTAAAAACGTGGATGTGTAACCGATGTGATTCTGCAATCTGTATTTGGGGTAAAAATGGGAGTTCATAATCCACTTGAATCAAATGTATGAAATATGATATGTCAAGAGCTTTGTAATGTTTTTAACAACCAATAAAAAAATAAGCTCTGGGAAGTAAGTAAATCTGAATTCAAATTTGCCACAATATGTTGTGTAAAGTCCAGTTTTCAAAATAAATAAATAAATAAGAGACATGGAACATGTGACTCACTCTGTGGGACCACTAATAAGAAACCATCTTGGAGAGGGCCAGATAGTGGATGTACACACAAAGAGAAGAAAGCCAAGTGCAGTCAATGGCAGACTCACAGAGGAGCTCAAGGCAGACGTGAGACAGTTACACTGGTGAACTTGAAGACTGTCAATCAGAATGGTCCTGTCTAGAACACAGAGAAAACAGGGGGAAGAGAAGCCAGCCTGAGACTTAGGAGACAGCAGCAGCTGTGCCAACAGCCACGTCACAGGAAGCCCAGGTGGACAGGAGGGAGAGACTGAAAATTTCAAAGAAATAATGGCTAAAAGATTCCCTCATTTAAAGAAAGTCATAAATCAATGGATCCAAAAACCCAGCCTAAAAGTAGAATAAACGTATACATCAAAATCCAGTTACTGAAAACCAAGACCACAAAATCTTGACATCGGCAAGAGATAACAAGAGATCATGTGCAGAAACACAATTAAATGGTTAGTGACTCTCTCATCCAAAGTAACAGAGCCAGAAGGCCACAAAGGGGCACATTCCAAGTGCTGGGGAAACTGTCAACTAGAATTACACAACCTGCTGTTGGCAAAATAGGTGGAATAAAACTGTTCTCAGAAAAACAAAACAAAAATTTTTGCTAGCAGATCCAGTTTACAAGAAATGCAAAAAGAAGCCCTTCAGGTTCAAAAGAAATAGTACTATTTAAATACCAGAAATTGCAAATGTTTGGGTTAATGTAAGAATATTAAAAAAATAAATAAATAAAAGAAAAACTATTCTAAACCATGTCTTCTTCATGATTATAGATGCAAAAGTCCTTAACAAACTATTGGTCAACTATATCCAGCAACAAATAAGGAGAATTATACACCATGACCACGTGAAATGCAAGTTTGGATTTACATATAAAAGTCAACAATGTAATATATAATTAGTGATATAAATGAAGGAGGGAAAAACTTGTGACCACCTCAATGGGAGAAGGAAAGCATTTGGCAAAATTCAACACCCCTGTTTACACCATTTATTCATGATTAAAAACTCAAGAACTAGGAATATAAAAGAATTTCTTTAACATGATAAAGAGTAGCAATAAAAATCTGGCAGTTAATGCTGACAGGCTGAATGCTGTCCTTTTGATTTCAGCAATATTATCTCATAGAAGGTTCTAGTCAGTGAAAAGATGAAAGGTTCCAGTTCAGGTAATGAAAAGGGAAGGGAAGGGAACTACTAAAGGCACACATCCTGTATATGCCTTTAGAGGAGAAATAAAACCATCTTCATTATCAGATGACAGGATTCTGTATGTCAAGAAATCCTAATAATTGTGTTAATTAGGATTGCATTTAATCATGCTCATGTTTGTATTATAAAACAATGCACTTGATCTAATAAACATGTTCAACAAGGTCATAAGATGGAAGATCAAAATGTAAAAATCAACTGCATTTCAGGGCTGTGGCTCATCAGTAGAGCATTCGCCTAGTATGTTAGAGAAGCTGGGTTTGATCCTCAGCATCACATAAAAATAAGTAAAAATAAAATAAAGGTACTGTGTCCAACTACAACTAAAAAATAAAATTAAGAAATTATTTAAAAAATCAACTGCATTTTAACATAAGTGACCATCTGAAAATCAAATCTAGGAACAATTCTACTGCCAGGCATGGCGGCATATGCCTGTAATCCCAGCCACTTGGCAGACTATAAGGCACAGTAGGATCACAAGTTCAAGGTCAGCCTTAGCAACTTACCAAAGACCTAAGCAACTAAACAAGACTCTGTCTGAAACTAAAAAATAAAAAAGAGCTGATGATTTGGCTCAGTGGTTAAGTGACCCTGAGTTCAATCCCTGGTACACCCCCCCCCCCCAAAAAAAAAAGGAGGAGGAGAACAATTCTACTTAAAGAAGCATCAAAAAAACACATAACATTTAGAAATTAATTTTACAAAATAAATGCAAGACTGGTACCCTGAAAATCAAAACATTGCTCAGATATTAAATAATACATTTATTATGCTTCAGATATCAAAAGGTTCATGTGTTGAAGGTATGGTCCCCAACCAGCAGTGCTTAGAGTTGGGCTCTTGGGACATGATTAGGTCCCCAAGGCTCTGAACAGGAGACTGATCCACTGAGGGTTTCTTAGCTGATGGCATTACTGGGAGGTGGCTGGAACTGCAATTGGGCCTACAGGGAGGAGGTAGGTCGCAGGAGCATGCCCTGAGAGAATATTTCCCTCCCTGGCGGCTTTCTCTTCCTGGACACTGAGAGGTGAGCAGCTGGCCTCTGCTCCACACCTTCATAATGATATTCTGCCTTGCCTCAGGCACAAAGCACTGGAGGCAGCCAAGAAAGGACTGCAATCCGGAGCCAAAACAAGTCTTGCCTCCTCTGAGTTGTTTTCTCAGGTACTTGTCCGGACAAGGAAAAGCTGATTAACACAGTCTTTAAAAAAATATGGAGAAAAGTTTCATATTCATGAATCTGAAGAATTAAAGATAACTTGATCTACAGTTTGAATACAGCCTCTATTAAAATCACACTACGCCGCCTTTTTATGGAAATTGACAAACTGATCCTAAATTATATATGGAAATACAAAGGAGCCAGAATATCCAAAACAAATTTGATACAGAAGAAAAAAGATGGAGAACATATACAAACTGGATTCCAGATTTACTAAAAGTATAAAGTAAACTATAACAAAAGCTACTGTAGAGCTGGGAATGGTGGTGCACTCCTGTAACCCCAGTGGCTCAGGAGGATGAGGCAGGAAGACCATAAATTTGAGGTCAGCCTGGGCACCTCAGCAAGACCCTGTCTCAAAATAAAATACGAAAGAATGAACTAGGAATGTAGCTCAGCAGTAGAGCACCTCTAGGTTAAATCCCCAGGCCTGAAAAAGAAAGAGTAGGCTGCTGTAGTAAGGATGGGAGGGTAAGTCAAAGGAACAGAAGTGAGTATCCAGAAATAAACCCTTACTTTATTTTTAGTTTATTTTCAATAATCGTACCAAGGCCATGCAGTGAGGGAAAAGATAGTCTTTACACTGTCTGGTGCTAGGACAATTGGATATCTATATGGAAAAACACAAACTTAGATCACAACCTCACACAACATACAAAAACAAAAAGTAATCAAATGAAACAACACTATAAACCATTTAGAAGAAGGCTGCAGAAAACCTTTGCGATCTTGAGTTAGACAAAGACTTATTTTGGCCAGCCCAGATTCACGGTAGGGAAATCAGACCCCATGTCTTGGTGGAAGACTGCAAAGGTCATAGGACGGAAGGTTTACTGTAGACAGCTCTGCCACTTCTTTCCCAGGAAGGTCACAGTCTTGCCATAGTTGTGTTTTACAGTCATTTTTATGAACACATGATTCATGCCTCTCTCTCATCACACACTAAACTCTATCAGGGCAGAGATCAGATCATGTCTTTATCAGTTCACATGTGTCTACCACACAGTAAGCACTGTTCATAAACTAAATGAAGAAATAAGCTGTCATATTTGCTTGTGGGAACTAGACAGAATAATCATTTTCAGGTTCCAGGTTATTAAATAACGGAACTTCATATCATGGCCTTCTGAAAACAATCAGGACTTAAAACAGTCTTCCTCTATAAATGCAATCCTTCTTTTCCTCACAAATGGCATCATCACAATTCATACGCCTCAGTGCATAAGTCAATCTACCAGCTCAGGATCACTGAGGACCCAGTCCAACCCAGTAAGCTGTTCAGCAGATGTGTCAAGCTTTTCCAAAATAAATTTCTGGAGAGACAAAATGTCAAATGCTCTAGTTTTGTGGAGGGTTTTTCTGTTTTGTTTTGTTCTGTTTTTTAATCATGAGCATGCAAATTACACAAAAGTTCTCTTCATCACTGAGATACAAATCACATGAAAGACTTACATTAACTTTTGCAACAAAGGTAGAAATGTATTCTCTTTAATGAATGACTTTTCTAGCAATGTGAGGGTGTCTGAGGGTTAAAACAGACTACCAGTTGTTCACAGGAGAGGAAATGCCTGGCCAAAGGCAGCTACACATGTGCACAGTGTGCTTGCCATCTGCTCACTGCGGTCACATCTGTCATCATATTTGCCATGTGCTGGCATTATCTGTGGGTGTTTCCGCCTCCCCTAAACTACATATTCCTTGAGTGCAGAGGCTACTTTTATTCATGTTTACAGGCCCAACACCAGCACAAGGCTATGTTGTGGAAGGCACCAATGGAACTGGGAAGAACAGTGCCCTTGGGAGGTGGTCTCAGGGTCATATAAAAGCTTACAGCTTGGAGTGGTTAACCCTGAACTAGTGGCTGTGCTCTTCACACTCTCCAGCCATATAAACCTAGCAGTGCTGTTCTCTCAAATGCCCTAGCCCACATATAAAGAAGAGAGAATCCCAAGTAATTCACAAAGGCACCTACTTGACATGACCAGTTTGAAGCTTTTTAACAGCTAAAGAGCAATGCAAATAACAACCACTGGCAAGAATTATCAAGGACTATAATAAAGAAACAACTTTAAAGTACCAGTTAACCATCAATAAGATTTGTACTAACAGGAATGAGGAACTTTTTGATTTCTTCCAAGGCATGGCCCATCCGGGCATAGGCTTCTGCTGGTGGGGCAAAGACTTCAATAAGGACATGGAGATCATCATTGAGGTGGAAGTACTTTGCTTCTCCACTTTTCCTCAATTCTTCTTCCTGAAGAAAGAATATCAGGTTTAAAAATGTGTCATTATAAGAAAAGGAAAAAAAGATGAAAACTCCCCAAAGCTTATCAGAACGTGGCTGTCACAGAAGATTCACTTAATAGCAAACACTGTCCCCAAGACAGAACCTTTACACTGCACATCTGATCCTGCCACCCCAGGACCCACCCCAGGCCTTCTTCGTGTTCTTCAACCTGGCTGGACTCCCACTCCCTTCCACCCTGGCTGTGCTCTGTGCCCCACAGCATCTCAAAGCCTTAATGTTTCTTCATTCTTTTCTTCCTCCCCTCCCTAGAAGGTGATATCTATGGGACAGAAACCATGACTGATTGTCTGATGATGAATTTCTCATGTCTAGAAAAGTGTGTAGAACCAGGAGGTGTTCAACAAGTGTTTGCTGAGCGAATGGCTAAACATCATCATTCATTCTGAATTCATGGGCACATTCATCTCCATGCCAGGCACGATGAGAATAAAATAGTAAAATGTATGAAATGCAATTTTATACTAAGACAAGGTTTGAAAACTTTTAAAATTTTATACAATTATGAGAATATTTGCTTAAATTTTTGTTTACATAATGAAGTTCAAGGAATATTAAGGTGGAGGAACACCTGTTTAAGGGACTACTGATTTGGTTCCATTACCCACCTTTTCCTAACTGTCTATTACAGTTCCTGATTCAAGAATTACACTTCCAGATTTCTAGAATCTGTGTCTTCCATTAGTCTTTCTTTAGTGTATCTTCTTTTTCAAAAAATCTATCCCATAAGAGAATCCCAGGAGTTCCTGCAACAGTTCCTTTTAATTCCAACAGGAGCTCAGGGGCCAATGATGCAAATGCTAGAGGAACATGATTTCATCCCTTGATTCTGCCCTTTAAGGTTTTAACTTTGCTTAACTAATTTAAATTATTATGAAGAAAACAAAGATTAAAAACTAGAATATGAAAAGGACATGAGATTTAATCAGATGCTCCTGAATCTTTGCTATCCTGGTCACCAGCTAGGTGAGGTTAGACAGATTATATGTGATCCCACACCTAATTCACAAAATGAGTTTGGTGGTGGTAACACTTGTACGTCAATGTAGAGCCATTGAGAACACAAGGGATACCATTATATAAACGCCTGTAGAAAGAAGATAGTGTGTCTACTGTCTAGTACATTGCATAATATACAGTGGGCACTCATTCATTCTAGTTTCCTTCCCATTTTATGGAAAGTGAATTAGAAGTTGAAAAAAAATGGAGAATAAATATAAGCTACCATAATATTCAAAACACTTCCTTGGAAATTTGTCTTCAGTTTTATGAAGAGCCTATTCTTTTATGTCAACTCTTGGTTGTTTTAATCAGAACATTCCAAACATTTGACCAGAAACTCTTCTGTTTCATAGCTGCAACTTTAAAACTTGGATTCTGTCCACTGTAGTTCATTTCTCCTAGCACAAACTTCTGGGGAAAAAAAAAAATTATCTTTTCCTAATATGATAGCAAAAAATGATTTAATTAGAGATTATAATTGTTGGTTTTATATTCTCCTTTTTGTCACACACTCAAGCTGTAACAGGAAGGATGTCTTAAAACTATATTCATTCCTCAATCCCACAGTAAAGAGTTCTCACAGACCATTCTGTGGACAGAAAACAGGGTATTGTTTGGGGAAGAACACAGACTCTGTAAAGACCTGCATTTAAAGCCCCAATACATCATTTACTGTATGATGCTGGTCAGTCACTTTATCCTCATCTTACAGGAGTGACTTTAAATGGGGGTAAGCACAGTGTAGTATCTATCTCACAGGGTTGTTAAAATAAGGAGTAAACACACACACACACACACAAAACCCTGAGAATCCTGCCTAGCAGATCAGCCTCCATTAAGTGGACATGGAGAAGTACAGCAGTGATGTGGGCAGAACATCCAGCAGGATGCTTGGCACAGACAGAATCCCAACAGATCCCAGCACTGCTGTGCTCTCAGGCTACACAGTCAGCTGAAGTCTGTCCATTGAGACTCATACGATTTTTATCAATGTAGCAAATAAAAGAGGAAAATGAATTAAGTTCTGCTTAGACATTTTAAAATAGTGATCACTCTGATAATATAAAGGGATGAGATACTTTAGAATGAGATTTTGATAGTAATGTGATTCGCATTAGAAATAAACATATTATTAAGTGAATTTAATTTCTGCAGATGAAAATTGAACCAGTAAAAAGGACCAACTGAAATCAATATTGAAGAGTCTAAGCAGTAAGTATCTCATTATAATATAGCAGACGGAATACTGGTAATATCCATTTAAGTAGTACACCTGTTACTTAAGCTGTCACCTGTGGTCATATTCAGTGAAATGCTTTCAAAGGTTGGAATAATGTGCAACCGTAGAGTGTGACAGGCCAGAGTAAAAAGTGCTGGGGTGGAGTGAAGTGGGATGTTTCTTTCTGTATTCAAGAGTTTAAAGGAAGAAATGAGAGACTTGGGCTTGCTATGATTTGGATCTTAAGTGTCCCCAAAAGCCTGTGCATCCAAGACTTAGTGTCCAGGGAGACGCTACTGAGAAGCAGTGGAACCTTCAGGAGGTGGGCCTGGTTGGACACCATCAGGTCACTGTGTGCATGCGTGAAGGACAGAAGAGAACACAGTCCCTTCGACTCTGTTTTCCTGGCCACGAGGTGAGTGGTTTTTCTCTGCTACCACCTCTAGTCATGATGTGTGTCTGGTCACAGAGCCCAAATGAACAGGGCCAATCATGGACTGATACCTCCAAAACTGTGAACCCAAAATAAACTTTTCCTATTTTTAAGTTGATAATTTTAAATATTTGCTATAGTGATGGAAAACTGACTACTACAGGGCTTTATTTTATCATTCTAAGATCAGGAAAATCCTAGAAGGTCTTAGTACTCATAGCTGAAGGCTGATGGAGCCCTCACTGTAGAGTCCAATCTTGTATAATGTGAAAGACGACACAGGGACCAGTCTCTTCTCTTCTGTGAGTTTAGACCATCCAAAGCCTAAGACCCCACAGAGCTCCACACAGCAGAAGCGTTTCTGGTAAGGCTCTTCCTACACTGCCTGAACAGAAGGGACAGTCCCTGAAGGGAGACGGCCATTCCCATGCTTCATTCCCACTACTCCTTACCACCTCCTGGCCTGCAATAAGCTCCTACCTACCATACTCTTGCTCCATGGTTCCAGAAAAGAATAACTGAGTTAAATCCAGAACCACTAGATGTAGTACTAGTAACTGCCACATCTCCTAGTGAGTGACACTTCTTCCTAGTCTTCCCAACAAGGTTCTGAAACTTTTTACTAGAGTAAGTATATAATGAGAATAAATAGACAGTGTGAGTACTAACAGAACTGAGTCTGACCAAATGCTGCTTCACCAAGGGCCACAAGTCAGAGTGGGGAGTGTGAAGTCAAGAGACATGGATTTCTGGTCCTGGTCCATTGAGAGTGGGCAGAGTCGACTGTAAATCCACAATATATGCTATTCCTCTAGTTGCTGGGTGTCTTGATGGAGTTAAGAATGATCAGCTAATGGAACCCTCCTTTTGATCTGGTGACCCATGTGGTCAAAAACACAGAAATGAAGGGATTAACGAATGAGTGATAAGTGATGTGGAAAAGAGGTCCAATGTGTAAAAACAGGGTGTCCCAAGCAGATGCAGAGCTGGTCCTCAGTGACCACATACTCTAGAGGACTCACTTGGCATATGCTCAAGTGTTTCACTTTCGATCCATCTCAGTACTGTTCAGAGTATTCATAAACAAAGGGACCACAGAGACAGGGATAGTGTTTATATACTATTTCACTACCAACTCTCTTTTTAAGGATGACTGGCTACTGACATTACTGAGTGCTCTATATGCCAACAGCACAGAAGAGCCACAAGCCCTTGATATGACAACATAATTGAAAGGACACTAAATCCTGACAGCAAGCTAAAAATGTTTAGGGTCCCCTTTGTATGGGAATAGCCAGGTACTAACTGTAAATTGGACCCACAATCTAGATAAAGATTTGCCTCCCTCACTTCACACAAAATACTGCTTCTGACACAGATCTCCCTCAACAACAAAAATGTGGAACAATGGACTCCCAGGTCTGTGGGCTTCACTGCTCATGTCATATACTCATGACCAGACGGCCTCACTGAGAACTGAATCAGGGCACCAGCAAGTGTGGAGTGTTTTCCTATAAGACATACACAATTTCTCATAAACTGGCCAAAATATGGTTACGTTTTCTCCTACTGCAACAAAAGATGATTTAGGGGAATTGCAGTACCATCATTCAGGACAGCAAGGCCCAGTGAATAGTGAAGAAAGCTTAGGCATGCATTAGGATCATTCCAAACAATTTTTTATTTTTTTAGTTTCTACCCTAAATATGTCTGGGAATCTCTACTTTTTTTCCCCCTAAAATCTTGAGAAGTTTAATGAGGTAGAAGTTTAACAATAGTGAAAACACTCTCCTTATGAATCTAAAAAAACGTATCTACAAACTATTGGTCATTTCCTTGAATTGTTAATTTTTTTAATTTTTAATTTTAATTTGTTCTACATGACAACAGAATGCATTTCAATTCATGTTACAGATAATGAGCACAATTTTCATATCTCTGGTTGTACACGAAGTAGAGTCACATCCTTGGTGTCTTCATACATGTACTTAGGGTACATGTATGGCCTTCACATTCCAGAGTCTTTCCTATCCCTACACCTGCTCCCTTCTCTTCTCTCTCCCTTTCCCCTTTGCCCTATCTAGAGTTCATTAAACTGTTTTCCCATGGGTCTGACACATTTTCCATTACTGTGGTGGAAAAACTGGCATAATGGAGTCAGAAGAACATGGTTTTATTACCTGTGAGGCAAATAATATAATGAATGTCTCTGATTAAGCTAGATAATAACTTGAGTTCTCTTTGTTTTTTTTTTATATGTGAAATAAGAAAAATGTTGTCTTCTTATATTTTTTCCCAAAGCAAGCAAAGGCTGATATATATAAAATGTCTCATGCTGTGCCTGACCCTCAGTGGCTCTTCAAAAAGCATATAGTGGCTGTAGTTATTATAAAAACTATTACTTTAGATGGACTTTGTGTGTGTGTGTGTGTGTGTGTGTGTGAAGAGACTGGATTTCATCTAAAAACCTTTCACATCTAATTCTCTCATTGCCTGACATTTCATGGTAGGTGATCGTGGAATGTGGATTTGGTTCTTGGTAATATAAATCTTTTAATCAGAAGAAAACAAGTGACAAGAGAGATCAATGTAAGTGGCACAGATTATGGTCTGTGGAAATATCTTTCAAATTTTTAAGAAAGCGATCAATAAAAATAACTCAGTAACTTTTAGCTTGTTGAGAACAATTATGTTTTAGAATAGTAAACAATAATAGAAACATTTCAAATCAATTTTAATAACTTCATAAAATACATAGGATATCAATTAAAGGTCAAAAAGAAAAAAGAAAGCTATATACACTATAAACTCAACTATACTTAACTAAACTCATGCATTACTTAACCCAGGGGTAAATTCTTAGAAATGCATGGTTAGGCTTTTTCCTTATGCAAATGCACAAAGACAACCACAATATCACTAGGGAATATAATCTCAAAGGACCACTGTCACATGTGTGGTTCATCATTGACAAAACATCATTATGCAGTACATGACTGTGAAAAAGTCCTAAAGGAACTAGTCTAAGCTGCAGTGATGGAGAGACCACAGGTAACATTTATTTCTCTTCCTGGTAATTCTAGTACTATCATACTACCTACAAGGTGACATAGTACTCTTGAATAAAAAAAGAAAAAAGCATTACCATTGTTACAAATACAGGTTTAAGATACCACCTATTTTTAAATTGGTCAGAGTGACTTCACTTTCTAAAGAGCATCACAAATCACCTCACATAAAATTTTCATATAGTTCCAGCTGAGACCCCTGGTTAGCTATTGCAGACCAGGTATTAACACGATGGATGATCTAAAGGCCCTTGACACCTGCCCAGGAAAGTGGCCACTGTGTATGATGCGCATTACCTTTGACTTGTCTCTCATGGAGCCTTTTCCCAGGATGGACATTTTTGTCAAAGTTTCTTCTTGTAAACGCTTCAGAGAATTGCCACGAGGACCCAAAAGTTTCCCCACAAAGTTGAACTAGGAAAAACAAATCAACCAACCATATTTGTAACATTCATATCTTAAAGCAATTACCAAACTTGAACATGAGGAAACACTATATAGTATGTGACATATCACTCATTAATAACCAGTACTTACTTCCTGCTATGTGCATCATACTGTGATGTTTTCCACAAACCATATAAAGTGGTACTGAAAACTGTAAAATTTTAAGAGATATAATTTATGCCCATCGCTTTAAGTGATGCCTTTATTTCATAAATTGTGAATGGACTTAATTCCCCAGAATTTCTGAATCACTATCCTGACTATCAGAGACCAACAGTGCTGGGAATGCAGATGAAGAAAATGATATCAGGTTCACTGTGATATGCACTAGCCTGGTCACTATATAAATTCAGTTATCCAGCCAATGTGTGGACGGATCTAGACGAGTTCTTAGGCATTCAGTGGCAACAGAAGCTTTACAACAAAATCCATTAATCTCTTCCAAAATAACTAGATATGAGAAGGCGGGCGATTTATTCAACATAGATGCCTACAGTTTACTTAACAAGCAGAGTAGAAATAAATTAAGAGGATGACCTCTGAGGTTAAAATGTCATGCCTTAAAACTGGCTTTTCCACTTACCAGCTAAGTAACCCTGGGCAAGCCACCTAAACCTGTCTGTGTCAGTTCCCTCATGGGTAATATAGGAATGACAACAAGACTGACTTATCCTCCTAGGGCTGCTCTGAGGACTAAGTGTGCCGATATCAATCAACCAATTTCCCTTAGAACAATACTTGGCAGATAAATACATGCTGAATGATAAATGAACTTACTGTTTTGAATATACCAGGGATTTAACCGAGGGGTGCTTTACCACTGAGGCACAGTCTTAGCCCTTTTTATTTATTTATTTTTTTTTAATTTTGAGACAGGGTCTTGCTAAGTTTCTTAGGGCCTCACTAAGAGGCTGGCCATGAGCTTGCAATCCTCCTGTCTCAGCCTCTAGAGTTGCTAGGATTATAGGCATGAGTCACCACACCCAGCTTTAATCAATATACCTTGAATAAAATAATTTTTATTAGGAATTACATAAAAATGTTAAATACTTTACTATAATCAAGGTAAATCACAAATGCTTCTGGCTCCCAAATAGAAACTCAATCTGTTTATCAGGAGAAAACTGTTCCTGTTGCAAGATTCTTGATTGTAAACTCAAATACAGTTGCCACTTCTTCAATGATCTATGCCACTGTTGTGTTTTGCTGTTTTTAAAAAAAATAGTTCCCCAGTTTATCTAATTATGACACTTGAAATAATTTTCTTGAAATTAATTAATACTTTAAAAAATCAAAATGCTATTTTTCCTTACCTACTTTTAGTTTTTTTTATTTTCAACCAAAATTCAAATATATATTTTTAACCTTCACATAAAAATATTTTTTTTGCCCCTTTCAATGCTTTATTCACTCAATTACTCAATACAATTTTACTCTATAGGTTCTTTTTATTTCTTTTTATCATTAGTTGTTCAAAACATTACATAGCTCTTGACATATCATCTTTCATACATTTGATTCAAGTGGATTATGAACTCCCACTTTTACCCCGTATATAGATTGCAGAATCACATCGGTTACACATCCACATTTTTACATACTGCCATATTAGTAACTGTTGTATTCTGCTGCCCTTCCTATCCTCTACTATCCCCCCTGCCCTCCCCTCCCCTCCCATCTTCTCTCTCTACCCATCTACTGTAGTTTATTTCTCTCTTGTTTTTTTCCTCTTTCCCCTCACTTCCTCACACTTCAGATAGAGCCCTAATATCCAGAGTATACAAAGAACTCAAAAAATTAAACAATAAGATAACAAATAACCCAATCAACAAATGGGCCAAGGACCTGAACAGACACTTCTCAGAGGAGGATATACAATCAATATACAGTACATGAAAAAATGCTCTCCATCTCTAGCAGTCAGAGAAATGCAAATCAAAACCACCCTAAGATACCATCTCACTCCAGTAAGATTGGCAGCCATTATGAAGTCAAACAACAAGAAGTGCTGGCGAGGATATGGGGAAAAGGGTACACTTGTACATTGCTGGTGGGACTGCAGATTGGTGCGGCCAATTTGGAAAGCAGTATGGAGATTCCTGGGAAAGCTGGGAATGGAACCACCATTTGACCCAGCTATTGCCCTTCTTGGACTATTCCCTGAGGACCTTAAAATAGTGTGCTATAAGGATACTGCTACATCAATGTTCATAGCAGCACAATTTACAATAGCAAGACTGTGGAACCAACCTAGATGCCCTTCAATAGATGAATGGATAAAAAAAAAATGTGGCATTTACACACAATGGAGTATTACTCAGCACTAAAAAATGACGAAATCATGGCATTTGCAGGGAAATGGATGGCATTAGAGCAGATTATGCTAAGTGAAGCCAGCCAATCCCTAAAAAACAAATGCCAAATGTCTTCTTTGATATAAGGAGGGCAACTAAGAACAGAGCAGGGAGGAAGAGCATGAGAAGAAGATCACCATTAAACAGGGATGAGAGGGGGGAGGGAAAGGGAGAGAGAAGGGAAATTGCATGGTAATGCAAGGAGACCCTCATTGTTATAAAAATATTCTTTGCTTTTCATTATTTAAATATGCTTCTATGTCAACGTTAAACTCCACAGAGTTTATAAACTCAAGAGCTACTAGAAGGTGTGTGTCAGGTGGGCAGTGTCCTCACCCACCCACCCATCTTATTCTTGCTTCCCATCTCCTCTGCTTCATCTCTCTGCCACTTACATTATGTAGATACTAGACCTCCCGAGTTAGATCTCTAAGTTTCTCTCTTATTTTTCCTGATTCTATTTTATTTTCTGGAAGATTTGACTCCATTTCTTATATATCTACAGATTCTCTCATTTCTGCAATCAAATGTTAAAGCAATAGTACGACTTTGCTGCCATTGCTTCCTTTTATGGTATTTTATTTTTATTTTGCAGGAAAAAAAATAGAACTTCTTTTCTTTCTGCAGATGTTAATGTCAGGGCCCCTCTATGCCTTGGAATTTACAGAATGTGCTTCTTCCTTTGGATTCCTTCCTTCCTCCGATTGAGAGTTGGCTCCTTATACCTTCTGGACTGTCCTGGAATGTTGGGTGATCCTCTCCTTCATTCTCTTGGAACACACGGAGGCTCTAAAATGCTGACTGGGTTCTGCTGTCATCCACAGGGCTGACAACTGGTAGACTACACTGTGAATGTGCAAGCCCATTTTTTCATCAAGAGCTGCTCAAATTCAGTATCTACACTTCCCTGTCCTGGATAATGCATTTCACTGAAGGGAATCCCCCAGTCTTCTGAGAGGAGGCATTTACCTGGCTGCCAGATCCTGGGAAGCCATCCTTCAGCATGCAAGCTATTAAGGATGCAATCCCCCTGCACTCTACGTGACATCTCATCTAAGCCCTCTGTCCTATTAGGGTGGAAGACTTCTCTACCTCGACCTCTTCAGAAAACCCACTCTGTCCTTTACTAGGGTGTGGAAAGGCAGACAACTGGCTTCAGAGATGGGAAAATGTCTGGCAGTACTTCTTGTTCCAGTGCTATCCTCTAAATCCACCTTATAGACTGAAATCTAAAGCTCCTGAGTCACTGCAAAGTTCCCCCAAACAGGGAGCATGCTGTGGCTGCGCATGGCAAGCTGAGGGCACCCAGTTCTCCATCATTTTGAGACGTGACCATCTACCACAGGTTTGCAGGTACCAAAATTTTACTGACATTATCTTTTGTTGTCTCACTCGTCCTGTCTATCTTCACAGATTCATCTTTTTTATTCATTTATATTAATTTTAGAAGGTTCAAGAATGGAGTAAAAATAAATTTCTGTGATTATACAGTCATATTCACATTATGTCCTAAATGGCCTAACTTTATTAACTGATAAAAATTAAGAGGCATTAGAAAACATTCAGTCTACACATCTAAGTTGATAATGAAGAAACTGGTATATACAAAACAGTATGATTTGATCCAGGTAACTTGAAAAAACATAGGATTCTGGGTGAACATACAGAAATCAGTAAACACGATATACCACATCAACAGAATGAAGGATAGAGCCCTATGGCCATCTCAAAGATGCAGAAAGGCATTCAATGAAATTCAACATTCTTCATGATAAAATCACTGAAGAAACCAGGTGCAGGAAGATTATCTCTCAGCGTAACAGAGGCCATGCATAAGAAGCTAACCTTACACTGGATTGAAAAAAAAAGCTAAACACTTTCTCTCTAAGATCTGGAATAAGACAAGGAGGTTCACTTTCGCCACTTTCATTTAACATTGCATGAAAATTCTAGCCAGAGCAACAAGGCAAGAGAAAGAAAGAGTCAAACTGCCACTGTTTGTAAATGACATGATCTTATGGAGCAAATCCCAAAGAATCCACCAAAAAACTATTAGAATGAAAAGGATTTAGCAAAGTTGTAGGACACAAAACCACTATACAAAAATCAGTAGCACTGCCATAAGCCAACAGCCAATTATCTGAGATAGAAATCAAGAAAGTAATCTCATTTATAATAGGTACAATAAATAAATAAAATTCCTAAGAATGAATTTGATCAAAGAAGTGAATGATCTCTATAATGAAATTACAAAACATTGATGAAAGAAACTGTAGAAGGCACATAAAACCAAAAGTTCATCCTGTTTATGGATTGGAAGAAACCATATTGTTAAAATGTCCGTAGCACCAGAGCAATCTACAGATTCAGTGCAATCCCTGTTAAAACACCAATGACATTCTGCACAGAAAAAGGAAAAAAAAAATCCCAAAACTTGTATGAAACTTCAAAAATCCCCAAATAGCCAAACAGCCAAAGCCATCTTGAGCAAAAAGAACAAAAGCATGATGTATGACATTACCGCCTTCAAAATTTACTACAAAGCTATAGTAATCCAACAGCATGGCTATGGCATAAAGGCAGAAATAGGAACAAAGTGAACAGAATAGTGAG